GGATGAAGATGTTCACATCCTGGACAGAGAGGAACGATGGTTTGAGAGAGGAGTAAAGGAGGCCATCTTTGTGAAAAGAAATCGTCCATCATTAAACAGGGGTGGAGGCCTCCGCGTTCAACTGTCCCCCTCTTACAATGCTGTGATTGCTATTATCACTCAGCCCTCTGTGAATAGTAAACAGCCATCAGGTACTAATGATCCATTGTTAGGCTGATGGTCCTTCTTGAGCATGTGATCAGCTGGTTTTGGTTGTCAGCAGCAAAACTGGTTGATCCACTCTGAGACGGTGCTATTTAAGAGACTGAGCTGAATACAGCTCCTCAGACTGAGGAAGTCTCTTGATGAGAGACAAAACGTTTCTAAATTTTTTGTTGTTTTGCCTTGTTTTGTTTTTTGAATGTCCAGAGGACCAGATTTAACTTTTTTTGATTTTTCTACCTGGATTATTGAGCATGCATCAGGATATATCTATAAGACATTCTTGCATCTATAATAATCTAAAAAAGTTAAATCTGGTCCTCTGGACATTCAAAAAATGAGGGGCGGATGATCATTGTCCCTTCCTCTGTGAGAGCAGACCTCCGACTCTGGGGAAACACCTTGTTTTTGTCAGAGGGAGTCCCTCTCAGCAGACCCACGTCACACGGGTCAGTCTTCACGGACGCGTCGCTGTCAGGCTGGGGGGCGGGGACATGCCTATCTCAAGCAGTAGGAGCGCTGTGGCCCCACTACACATCAGCCCACATCAATGTTTTGGAGTGTCGCACAGTACTGAATATGATTCAACACTTTGCTCCCGTGCTACAGAATCAACACGTGTTGATTCACACAGACAACATGATGACTGCTGCGTACATAACCATCAAAGGGTGTGCGTTCAGCCCAGATGTTACACATTGCGCGAAAGCTACTGTGTTGGGCTCATCAAAACCTGCTCTCTATTAGAGCGGTTTACATATCCGGTGTTCTGAACAGAGGAGCAGATGTGATGTCCAGGGGCGGCCCACGTCACGTGGACCAGACCCTCCATCCAGATCTGATGTTTTCAGACGTGGCAGAAGTTGGCAAAGCAGCTGTGGACCTGTTTGCGACGCGAGAGAACGCTCAGTGTCAACTATGGTTTTCCCTGAGCCCGCGAGACAATCCATCGCTGGGGGGGGACGCATTTGCTCACAGCCCGTGGCCCAAAACGCTTTTGTACGCGTTTTTTCCCCACCTCCTCTGTTTTTACGGTTCCTGAACCGAGTTCAGGAGGAGGGATTGACAGCTCTCCTGGTGGCTCCCGAGCGTGTGAACGCACCATGGTTCCCAGGCCTGCAACGTCTGTTGTCGGGTCGCCGTGGAACTGCCGTGGAGGGAGGATGCTCTCCTTCAGGCAGGAGGAGCGATCAAGAGTTACCCAGAAATAGGTCAGCACCTGTGGGTCTGACCGCTGAGCGGTCCCACTTAGAGAGGATGGGTCTCCCTCAGGAGATAGTGTGCACAATTCAAGATTCACGTGCTGCATCTACCACAGTTCTGTACACATCAAAGGGGACGGCTTTTCAGCGCTGGTGTACAGAGAAAGGTTCAGAGGCCACCTCATGCCTTTTAGGCGGCGTGTTGTCTTTCTACACTAGCTGATGGATAGGAAGTTGGCATTCAGTACGTTTTAACGTACGTTGCAGTCATCTCTTCCTGCCACAAAGGTTTCGGAGACAGAACAGCTTTTAATCACCCGCTGATGAAGCGTTTTTTTCTAAAAGGTGTTCAGAGACGCAGGCCTGCTTCACGTCCACTTGCTCCACAGTGGGATTTAACGCTGGTCCTGCGAGTCCTGATCAAAGCTCCAATTGAGCCTCTGGATCAGGTTTTCACTTAAAATTCTTGTCTCTTAAACAGCCCTGCTGCTGGCTTTAACACCCGCTAAGAGGGTAAGTAATTTATCTGCCCTCTCTGTTGCTTCGTCATGCCTTAGAATTTAGGCTGACGGGCAGCTCAGCTGATTTAAGACCGAACCCAGCTTTTATGCCTAAAACATCACGAGCTCTTTTAAATCAA